AGAAAAAAAAGAGATCATTTTTTAAGTTAACAAAAAAATACAATTGTTTTAATCGTTTTTTCAACATTACGCACGTTTTTGCTTAATTATTTTTGTAAGTGTATAATATGTATAGGATGGTCTCTAGAACTGATTTAGCATGCGTAAGCGTTTAGAAGTGAATGAATGTTTTCAAGGTTGTAGACAGAAAAGTATGTATTTTTTTTTTGTTAAGAATATTACAGTGAAAAGCAAAACATATGAAACTAAACTCAAAAACTTTAAATTAGTTAACGATTTTGAAGACAAAATTGCAACAACGTACTACTTTTTCCAGAAAAGTACTAATTTAACCAAAATTTTTATTGAAATATGTTTACTAAACCCCAAAGATAACGAATACGCCCTTATTTTGCAATTTAAAAATAGTAGTAGAAATACTACTTTTTTAAAAAGTAAGGAATTCATTAAATTTTTGTTCGGAATTTAATTTAGAAAATTATGAACTTTAAAAATATTACATTTTTAAGCAAAAAATTTTAAAAAGTACGTAAAAAAGCTACTACTTTTTTCCAAAAAGTAGTAATTTAACAAAACAGTTTATTGCTATAAGTTTTATAACCATCAAAGATACTAAATTCATTGTTATTTTTCATTTTAAAAATAGTAGTAGAAATACTACTTTTTTAAAAAGTAAAGAATTAATTAAATTTTTGTTTGGAATTTAATTTAAAAAATTATAAACTTTAAGAATATCACATTTTAAAGAAAAAATTTTGAAAAATTGCTGAAAAAAGCTACTACTTTTTTCCAAAAAGTAGTAATTTAACAAAAAAAAAATATTGCTATAAGTTTTATAACCATGAGAGATACTAAATTCATTGCTTTTTTTCATTTTAAAAATAGTAGTAGAAATACTACTTTTTTTAAAAAGTAAGAAATTTATTAAAGTTTTGTTTGTAATTTAATTAAGAAAATCATAAACTTTAAGAATATCATATTTTTAACAAAAATTTTTAAAAAATTACTTTAAAAAGCTACTACTTTTTTCAAAAAAGTACTAATTTAACAAAAATTTTTATTGCAGTATGCTTAATAAGCTTCAGAAAAAACAAATTTACTCTAATTTTGCAAATTAAATATAGTAGTAGAAATACTACTTTTTTAAAAAAGTAAGAAATTTATTGAAGTTTTGTTTGGAATTTAATTAAGAAAATTATAAACTTTAAGAATATCACATTTTTAAGAAAATATTTGAAAAAGTACTTAAAAATGCTACTACTTTTTTTAAAAAAGTACTAATTTAACAAAAATTTTTATTGCAATGTGTTTAATAAGCTTCAGAAATAAAAAATTTACCCTAATTTTGCAATTTAAAAATAGTAGTAGAAATACTACCTTTTTTTAAAAAGTAAGAAATTTATTAAGGTTTTGTTTGTAATTTAATTAAGAAAATTATAAACTTTAAGAATATCATATTTTTAACAAAAATTTTTGAAAAAGTACTTAAAAAAGCTACTACTTTTTTAAAAAAAGTACTAATTTAACAAAAAATGTATTGCAATGTATTTAATAACCATTAGAGATAACAAATTCGTCATTTTATTTTGATTTTAAAATGGTAGTAAAAATACTACTTTTTTAAAAAGTACGGAATTTGTTACTTTTTTATTTAGCAATATGTTTATTAAAAATTTTTATTGAAGAATATATAATTTTTTTGTAAAAAATTCCATTAAGTACTCCTTTAGCTACTACTTTTTGGCAAATAGTACTAATTTTTTAAACAATATTTATGACATTTTATTTAATATGATGTAGGGATGTCAAAATTATCATAATTTTTAAATTTCAAAATAGTAGTAGAAATACTACTTTTTGAAAAAAGTAAGAAATTCATTGCCTTTTTTTATTTGTTATAAGTTTACTATAAATGTTAATTTGTAAAAATGTTTTTTTAGCAAAATTTTTCAAAATGTTATTTAGTTACTACTTTACAACAAAAAGTACTAAATTTTAAAGAAACTTTTATTAAAACTTAGAATTTTTCTAAGAATTTTCTTCTTAGCCGTGTTTTTTATTCTACCAACATAACGATCACTTTTTGTTTTGTTTTTACTTTTACTCTTATTTTAAATATCTTTCTTCTCCCACTACAACAACAACAGAAAAAACTACTTTCTTTTTCAAAATCAAACAAACAGATACACACACCCAATGCTCTCTGTATGTGAGTCATTAAAACAACAACATAATCATTCTCCTTAAAGAAGAAAGTTCATAACATAAACACCAAGAATTTAAGCTCTAAATATGTTAGTTGTTGTTGTTGTTAGTAGTAGTAGTAATAAGTTTAAACTTGGTATTACATAACTTTCTCTTCGAAAACAACAACAGCAGTAAACAATCATTCATTCATGAACCGAGTACATATATCTATCCATTCATAAAAACCTAAAGAAATAAAAATAAAAACAAGTTTCGGTTTTCAAAACAACGAAGAAAGTAGTAAAAGATAATTGAAGAAAGCAACAATAACAACTACTACTACATACTACTAGAGTAAAGTAAAAAAACTGGTTGTTTGTTTGTTTATTAACTTTCGTTTCAAACACGATATGAAGATCGTGTTTGTGTTGCTGTTGTTGTTAGTATTACATTAAACAGATTAAGGTTTAGAATTGTTGTTGTTGTTAATGTTGGGTTCTTGTTCTTCTTATTGGTTTTTCTGGTACAACAAAAGAAAGTCTTTCTCTTTTCTCGAGTTTTGTTTATATTTTGTCGTTCTTAGTTTTCAAAGATCTTGCACGTACACCATTTCAGTATCAATGTTCGTGTGTATGTATCTATTAGAAAATTGTATGGGGGTATTACATATTTGGATTATCTGTGGTTATGGTTTGTTTTTCTTTTTTCAGTTTTTGTTTTTTTTGCTGATAACACAGTAAGAAAGTAGTAGTTTTTTAATGGTATGGGTGAACTTGAAATTTTTGTTTTAATTAGAAAAGTGACTGACTGCGTGTATGTGTATGTCTGTGTAATTGAGTAATAGTTTTGGGGTTTTGCTTACATCGAGAAATTTCTAAACTAGTTTTCTAGGCTTGAAATGTAAAAAGAATTTTAATTGTTTTTCATGAAAAATTGTTGTGGAAAATTCCATTACTGGCTAAATTATTTGTGGAAATTTTCAAAAATTTTCTCAAAAAGAAATAATGTATGTATGAAAATTGTAAATGAATTTTGTCTTCGAAATAATTTCATTTTCATTTCTTATTGATTAGTTGGCTGTAATTCAAGAAAAAATTTCTCTAATTTTTTTTTTTTTTACAATAATTTCACTTTTATTTATAGTTATTGGTAAAAAAAAACTAAATTTAAAAAAATGTTATGGCTTGAAAAGTAAAAACCATTACGCACTTTTAGCAAAAGAGCATTGACTGCAAAAAAAATGACGTGTTTTACATTGACAGTGAATTTTAAGAGCCAAAAATAAGCTTAATTTACACCATTTTCAAATAGTAGTAGAAAAACTACTTTTTTTAAAAAAATTAAAGAAATCAATACATTTTTGTACAAAATTTAATTTAGAAAACTATAAAATTTAAGAATATCATATTTTTAACAAAAATTTGTGAAAAAGTACTTAAAAAGCTACTACTTTTTTCACAAACATACTAATTTAACTAAAAATTTTATTGCAATATATTAACTCACCATCAAAGATAACAAATTCATTATTATTATGCAATTTAAAAATAGTAGTAGAAATACTACTTTTTTCAAAAAGTAAGGAAATCTTAAAATTTTTTTAAACAATTTAATTTAGAAAATTATAAGCTTTAAGAATATCACATTTGTAATAACAAATTTTGAAAAAATACTTAAAAAGCTACTACTTTTTTTCACAAAAGTACTAAATTAACAAAAAATTTTATTGCAATGTGTTAACTAACCACCACAGATAGCAAAATCATTATTATTTTTCTAATTAAAAATAGTAGTAGAAATACTACTTTTTTTAAAAAGTAGGGAAATCTTGAAAATTTTGTATAGAGTTCAATTTAGAATATTAAAAACTATAAGAATATCACATTTTTAACAAAAATTTTTGAAAAAAGGACTTCAAAATCTACTACTTTTTTCAAAAAAGTACTAATTAAACAAAAAATTTTATTGCAATGTGTTAATTAACCATCAAAGAGAGCAAATTCATTATTATTTTTCTCATTCAAAAAGTAAGGAAATCTTAAAATTTTTTAAACAATTTAATTTAGAAAATTATAAGCTTTAAGAATATCACATTTTTAATAACAAATTTTGAAAAAAGTACTTTAAAATCTACGACTTTTTTCACAAAAGTACTAATTTAACAAACAAATTATTATAATATGTTTCATATCCCTTAGAGAGGATAAATTCATCATTATTTGTCATATTTAGCCTTAAAATGTAATAACGTTAAAAATCGTTATTAAGATCTTTTGGAATTTCACAGAAATTTAAAATATCAATGGGAAAGCTTATTACCATCAAAATTTGTCTTATTTGGTCTTAAAATCTAATAACGTTAAAAGTCGTTATTAAGAAATTTTGGAATTTTATAGAAATTTAACTAAAATATCCATAGGAAGGCTTATTACCTTTAAAATTTGTTTTATTTGAACTTAAAATCTAATAACGTTAAAAGTCGTTATTACAAAATTTTGCAATTTTCCAGAAATTTTTCTAAAATATCAATAGGAAAGCTTATTACCATCAAAATTTGTCTTATTTGAACTTAAAATATAATAACGTTAAAAGTCGTTATTAAGAAATTTTGCAATTTTATAGAAATTTACCTTAAATTATCAATAGGAAAGCTTATTACCATCAAAATTTGTTATGTTTGAGATTAAAATCTAATAACGTTAAAAGTCGTTATTATGAAATTTTGCAATTTTAATTAAATTTACCTTAAATATTATTATATCTAAACATTTTCCTAACTTTTTTTTTTAAATTTTTTTTGTCTTTTATTCCAGAATTTGATGGCACCACTGTTTTGTGTCGTGTTTGCGGTGACAAGGCTTCTGGTTTCCATTATGGCGTCCATTCTTGTGAAGGTTGCAAGGTAAGTGAACTTTGTTTTTTCATTTTGTTTTTTTTTTTTTTTTACCATAACAACAGAAACCTTCAAAAATTAAAACGCAAAAACCCCAAAAAATCCTTTTTTTTTCTTTGCCTAAAACTTCAACTTTAAAGCTAAAGTCAATGAACTTTTTTTTGCAAAACCTTAAAACAAACTTTAAGAATAAGACAGGGTTTGCTAAAGACTGTATTAAATCATAAAAAGTAAAGTTTTGCTTAAAATTTTGCAAGAATTTGTTTAAGGCACAGAGAAAAAAAAACTACTGCAGCCCTTTTTTTGTGGTGCTGGCTTAGGGTACCCTATTAAGGAAATTTAGGCATATAAAGTTTGTTACTTATTTGAAGAATTTCCTAAGAATTTTTATAATTTTTAAAAATTTCTAAAGATTTTAAAAATATTTCCAAAAAAAAATTAGAAATTTTTTGAAGGAAAATTTTAAAATTTTTTCTGATTTTGTTTCCTTAACGTACCATTTAGATTGATTATAGCTCCCTTGCTCTGTTTGTATTACATATTGTTCTCCTTTTTGTCTTTGTTCAATAAAACTGAACAGTAGAGAAAAAAAATTGAACGCGTGCACAACCTTGAAAACGAAGTTTGCCCTATTCCCTTATATAAATAAAATAAAGAATAATTTTTTCATTTATTTATAGTTTTTTTTATATATATATTTTGCAATACATCCCAACCAGACTCAATGTATGTCTCAATGACGTCCTTGATTTAGGTTAAATCACCAGGCAAGCATGATCATGTACTTTTTGCTTTGTTTTCATATACAAACTCTAGTTATCTTCCTCTCTCTCTCTCTCTCTCTCTCTCCACCTTTGTTCGGATCTATAAAAAGAACAAAAACTACAGAACCCTTGTTATTAATGAAACTGGGAAGAAAGAAATTCATCAACAGATTAAATTGTTTATTACAAGTGTTTATTTATTATTGAAATAAAAGCCCTTTTTATATTAAACAAAAACTCACCCTAAACCAAAAATTTTAACAAAAAATAAAGGAACCCCGATTTTTATTTATTTACTTATTACTATAAGCAAAACAACTACATACATACATACATATGTATGTACATAAAATAAACTAAAATTTTGAAGTTCAAGGTTAAATAAATTTTCTGCTTGAACTCATTTGTTTTGTTGTTGTCGTCTCCAATTCTTTTTTTGATTTTATTTTTGGTAAACGATCTTTAAATAGGCTTCGTTTTGAGATTTACTTTTAACGAAGAGTATATAGATCTTAGCACAGCACCTAACTCTCTTAGTAGGCCTAAAACAAGTTTATCACTTTTGACCACTCATTCTTCTTCTTAAACATTTATTATACGTACTGTTGAGCTTTGACGGCTTACCAAAGTGCGTGAGCTTAAACATGCGTGTAGTTTTATTATTTTCATTTTAATCAGGAAGCCTTTTGTTATAAATTTTTGCCAGTTTTTTTTAAAAATAACCTTCGTTTTGTGTATTGACCTTTATGGCTTTTTTGTTATTTTTTGCGTTAAAAGTAGAATTTTTTGGTTGTGTTAGAAACTAACAAAAGAAACTGGTTAAACATATTTTAACTAATTAGATTTTTTAGCTTTAAAAATAGCTTAAAAAAAAGACTAATAAAACAGGTTAAAACTGGCAAAGAAATTAAGACAAAAAACGTAATAATTTTCCATAAGAAATTATAAAAAGAATAATTTAAAACAGACAAATTCTAACAAATTTCTACAAAATTTCCATTGGCAGCCTTAAAAACATAAAAATATGTAAAATTTAGTCTAAAAAGCCCATAACGTTAAAAGTCGTTATAAGTAAATTTTGTAAATTTCAAGAAATTTAGCTAAAATATCAATTAGAAGTCTAAATACTAGGAAATTTTCACAAATACGGCCTTAATATCATATAACGTTAAAAGTCGTTATTACAAAAAAGTTAAAATTTTCTACAAATTTACATAAAATATCAAGCGGGGAGCTGCTTAACAGCAAAATTTGTTATATTTGGTGTAAATAGTCAATAACGTTAAAAGTCGTTATTACAAAATTTTGGAATTTTAAAGAAATTTATCAAAAATAGCAATAGGAAAGCATATTACCATAAAAGTTAGTCATATTTGGCCTTAAAATCAAATAACGTTAAAAGTCGTTATTAAGATATATTGGATTTTTTAAGAAATTTATGTAAAATATTATTAATAAAGCTCTATACTATGAAAAATTTTCATTTTAACTTAAAATCAAATAACGTTGATCATCGTTATTGCAAAATTTAAAGCAATGTTCATAAATTTTCTTTTAAATAACGTTACCATGAAAACGTGTCATATTTAGCCCAAAAAGCCAATTTACAATGACAATAGCTAATATTTGCAGTAAAAATGCAATAACGTTATTTGTCGTTATTACAAATTTTAAGAATTTTTAATAAATTTACCTACAATATCAATTATTAGTCACGCAACAATAAAAATTTATTATAATTGGCCAAACTAGCCAATATCGTTAAAAGACGTTATTGCAAAATATTGTAATTTTTAAGAAATTTTTATAAAATATCAAACTGGAAGTATGATGATAATCATAATTTGTTCTATTTGGCCTTAAAATCAAATAACGTCAAAAGTCGTTATAAGAAATTTTTGGTAATTTTTAAGAAATTGCTATAAATTTCAAATAAGCCACAACTTTACTTCATAAAATTGTTAAATTTGGCTCAAAACAACTTATAACGTTTTTTTACGTTATTAGAAATTTTCTTAATTATATGGAAATTTATATAAAATTTCATTTATAAACAATATTGCTAGAAAAATTTTACATTTTCTTGATAAAAATCTCATAACGTTAAAAGTCGTTATTGTCAAAATTTTTATACAATTGTCTAAAAATTTAGTAAATTTTGTAAATCAATTTGTTTATACGAAATAACAATATATTATAGATAACAATATACTTATACGAGTATATTGTTATCTATAATATTACAATCTCCCGAAAAAATTTAAAACTTCCTTAACCCTCCCTCTCCCTAAAAGTATGTGGGTTTTTTTTACTCCTCATAACAATGTTCTATTTTGTGATAGTAATGTTTTGTTTTCATTACTTTTGCTAATATTATGTATTTATTATTATTGTTGTTGTTATTATTATTATCATTATTCTTTTACTTCTTGTTCAGCATTAATATAAGCATAAACAGCAGCAGCAAAAACAACAACAACCATTAAAACTAACAACATATTAACATTTATACAAATATATACACACGATTCCATGCTTAAACTATATACGAACAAGAAAAAAAAAACTACGAAACGTAACACACGAAGCGAACAACATCGGTAATTGACCAGACCCAAAGAGTGAATGAACTCGTTCAATGTCAACGCGTAGTCGTTTTTTTTTTTGCTGTTGTTGTTGTTTGTTCTTCTTCTTTCTTCTCTTTTATATTTTAATATTATTGTTATTGTTGTAATGATTATTTTTACTGCTTCTTCTTTTTATATTTTTTCCATTTATAAACAGTAGACCAGAAAAAAACACGCTCTCTTGCTCTCTGTATATAGTTTTCTTTCTTTTTTATAACAAATAGAGTGAGTGAGAGAGAGTAGTTTTTTTTTTTTTTGGAAAAACATTTTTATCACTATTTTTTTTATGTGGGTCTTTTAATTTCTCTGTGTGTTCTGTTCTTAAGAGGAGGAGGTCTCCCCTCTTTTTTTTATGTATTATTGAATTTTACTTCCTTCTTGTTGTTATTGGTTTGCTGTAGAGTAAAATAATTTATCATTTGTTGGTTTTTTGACTCGTTTAGTAGAGAATTTTTGTTTAGTTTGTTTTTGCTTATTTTAATCAAATTTATGTTGTTTAACGTTTTATTAACATAAATATTATGTAAATTGTAAAATGACAAATTATGGGGGAAGTAGAAGTAAATAAATAATAAATTTTAAAAACAAGGGGAGAAAAACACAAAAAAAGAGAAAAAGTACATGTTTTTGTAGTTTTTAAAATCAAAAACATAAAATAAAGTGTTTTTTAGCTTAAGTGAATGTTTTTAAATGTTTAATCATCAGATTTTTTTTAAAAAATAAGAAAATTTTCTTATAACGCTTAATAACGTTATTGCATTTTCAACATATTTTCATAGTTTTTCATATTTTCCTCAAAATTGTTCTATAATTTTGCTTAAAATAGCAAAATTTTCTAATAACTTTAAAAAACGTTATTACATTTTTAAGTCAAATTTGATTAATTTTCATAGTTACATCACTATTAAGTGACAATTTACTTAAATTTTTGAATTTTTGAAAAAAATTGTAATAACGTTTTTTAACGTTATTAGCTTTTTAATTCAAATATGTTAAATTTTCATGGCAATCTTTCTCTTAATTGAAAATTTCTAAAAATTTTTTGTTAATTACAAAATTTCTTAATAACGTCTTTTAACGTTATTACAAAATTTTGTAATTTATAAGAAATTTTTACAGAAAAGTTATAACCAATGTTAGAGAAATAAAAAAATCTATAAATTTTCAAAATTTTATAATAACGTCATTTAACGTTATTAGTTTTAAGGCTAAATATGACAATTTTTTTTACAGTTAAGATCCTAACTGAAATTGAATATAAATTTCTTAAAAATAACAAAGTTTTCTTATAACGGTTTAAAATGTTATTGGATTTTAAACCAAAAATTTGATAAATTTTCGTAGTATTGTTACGATGAAATAAAATTCTGTGTAAATTTCTTAAAAATTACCAAGTTTTCTTATAACGGTATATCACGTTATTAGCTTTTAAGGTTAAATATATCACATTTTCATAGCAATGTGGCTGCCAAATAAAATTCGCCATAAATTTCTTCAAGTTTTCATAATTTTTGAATAACGCTATTGCACGTTATTGGCTTTTGAGGACAAATAACAAAAATCTTATAGAATTTTTGTTCATAATGCAAGTTCTAAACAAAATTCTTGAAAATTAAGG